GTCATCCTGTTCCCTGACTGGTGAGTATCTTTCAATAAGTCATCCAAGGAGGCAAAGGTCGAGCTGCAGCAGCCTGTGCCAGCCAGCCAGCGAAGCTGGGAGCATAGATGACAGCACTGGGAGAAACTGGGAGGGAAGAGGACAAGCTTAACTGGAGAGAGGGATTTTTCCAACCACCATGGCTGGTTCTCGGTGGCTCCTCACTTCTGTCCTCTTTCTGCTGCCCTTCCTAAGACATATTTCAGCACAGGAACCAGGTAAGCTCCTGCAGGAGGTCCATGAGCACGGAGGAATAACCCCCATGGCAGCAGGTTGCTCTGGGTGGGAGGTTTTTACACGCCTGCTCCAAGACATCTCTGTCCAACCACCTTCTCTCCAGTGGAGTAACCAGAGGGGGCTCGAAGTTCTCGCTCAACTCTACCCCAATGTGAATCTCTGGGTGATTTTGTCTCATTTGTGGGTTTTTCCAGGATGTTCTGTCAATAACAGCAAACCTAGAGTGGAGGAAAATAATCACCCTGGCTATGTGGTGACTGAGATCCATGTGGAGCCAGGGTTCAGGGTGAGGATCGACCCGGGCTCCCCCGACGCTGCCTTCTTCACCCTCCAGGGCTCTGAGCTGCAGCTGAGCCAGAGCGTGGACTATGAGGTGAGCCCTTGGCTGCCAGCCTGGGGGGATGAGCCAGAGGATGTGGCATGCAGGGAGTTTCAAGCTGGGTCCTGGACTTCAGGGGATTTGTAGCTTGTTTCCGAAGGGTTTAGGAAATAACTTTGGAAAGTAAACCTGTATCAGCTGGGTTTGAGCTGACTGCTTGGGAGGTCAGCCCGTCCACAAGCCAGGGATGAGGGATGAGGGGTGGGGGATGCATGGAATGGCTGCTGCCACCTTCCTTCCCTGAGTCTATAGCAATTAAAACAAGGGGGAGTTTTAATAACAAAAATGTGACAACTGTGGTGTCGGAGCTCTCCAGGACCCCTGTGAGACCACCCTTGTTTGCCTGCAGACAGCACAGCTCTGAGCAGTGAGGTGATCTTGTGTGAAGCATCAAGGCAGTATAAAAAGTCAGCGTGGTCAGTTAGGTTGCTGCAAAATTCTCTCACCTTCCTGGAGCACTCTGTGTGCAGCTACCAGCACCCTTAAGCTGCCTTTCCCCTGCTATTAAACCCCACATTTATTTGGGTGAAAACCAGCAGAGTTAACACCCTGCAGGTGACACTGTATGGTACGTTTCTGTTTTATTCTACTTAAAAAGAAATGTCTGAGTTCACCTGAAGTGTGAGAAAATGGGCAGTTAGCTCTGCTGAGATGTTACAGGAATCGTAGGGGGAGAAGCTGGAGCACCAGTCTGCCCTGACTCCACCATAAGCAGGATCCCAGCGCTGGCAGGTGGATGGAAAGGAGAATTTAGGTGGGTCTGAGCGGGAGGGAAGCCCAGCAGCAGTTCTGGGTTGTTTCTACACCCGTGGGTTTGGCTTTGCACACAGGAAGACCCCTTGCTGCTGGTGTACCTGGTCTGTGAGAGCCCTGCTGGGCAGGTGAGTGCTCCCCCAAGACCAGCCCTCTTCCCAGGCACAGCAGAGGTCCTTCCCTCTGCCCCCCACACCCCAGGATGGGGTGTCCTGTCCCCTGGGGGGGTGCATGCTCAGAGCTCCTGCGGGAAGGGGAACGGGGAGGGAACAAGCCCACCCCCCCTCCAACCTCCCCCGAGGCCCCTCCAGCTGTGCTCTGAGCACCCCCTCCCCTGATCCCTCTGCAAATCAGGGTAATCTCTGCCAGTCCTGTTCTTGTCCTTGATTCTCCCACTTCACACTCTGCAGAGAGATTCTTTGGAAGTTCTGGTGACCATTATCAACGTGAACGATAACAGCCCAGAGTTTAAGGAAACCAATCTCACCAAGGTGGTCCCTGAGGTAAGAGCTTTACAGACATGAATTGGTGCTGGGGGCTGAGGGAGGGCTGCCAGGGAGAAGCCTTCAGCCCATTCCACAGGGAGAATCACCACAGCCCCTTTGTTGCAGGACACGAAGGTGAATGCAACCATTGTGGCCCGTGAAGAGTTAAGTGCAAGTGATGCTGACCTGGACACCATCTTCTACCAGCTCACAGCAGCAGTGCCGGTGAGCAGCCCCCTGCCTGGGGCAAAGTGCTGGTTCTGGGAGGGGGTGTTGAATTCAGCAAAGCCCCAGCTCCAGGGCTGAGGTGACTGGGTTGTTTAGTTCCCTGGCAGCTCCTGGGGTGGTTCATCTTCTGCAGGAACCAGAGGCTGGTTTGGTTGACAGGACAGAGCAGTGACTGCTGCAGGGATTGGCTCCTCTTACTGCTCACACCTTTATCACACTGGATGGATTAAACTTCCAGCTAGGATGTTGTGGACCATATGCTGCAGGGATGTCTCGCTGGGACAGTCTGTAAACATGTCAGGAAAGACCTTTGTACCCCCCATTGTTCGGGGTGCCAGTCGGGTGGGGGAAGCAGGAGCTGTTGCCCTGGTTGCCAACGGTGTCCACGTGGAGTGCACGTAATGGGAGCTGCCCAAGAACATGCAAAAAGTCCCTGGCAAAGCCCAAGGCACATTCTGCTTTCCCAGATCCCAGTTTAGTGCCTTAGTTCATTTGCTCTTAAAGGCTTTGCTTGGTAGCAGGGGGAATGAATTGTATGCACAGTTAAGCTGATGCCAGTCTAGAGTGCAAGGGCCTGCTAGAAAATAAAAACCAAACAAACGAACAAAAGCCCCAAACTAAATAAACAATAAATTGAAGAGAAACCCAAAATGTATATTTATGTTTTTAAAGGCACGGTGAAGCGAGCAGGCAGCGTCTGACATTCTGCCCCCACCACCTCCCTAACCCCAGGGGTTTTAAGGGTTGTGAACAGAAATCACAGGGGTTTGAATTTCAGTTCTGGGGCCAGACTTTGCCCCCACGTTGGTGTAAATCCAGAGAGATGCAGAAATTCAGAGCAATTCCAGTCAAGACACAAGTTTCCAGGAGAACCAAAGCAAGTGCCCAAGGTTCTCTAATGCAACCTGTGTTCTGTCAGCTTGGCTCCAGAGCTGCTTCCAAAGCTGGGCTGGGCTGGGGTGGGGGCTCCTGCCAGCCCCTGGGGGCTGAGCCACCTCTGAGCAGGTTTGTGTGGGGCTGTGAGATTTCTTGGCTGCTGTGGACCTAAAATCGTGGATTGTTGGCAACCTGTTGTGTGCAGGAAATAGGGCAATAGGAGGTAGAAGATTTAATCCAGTGCCTCCTGGGCAGGTAGGCAGGCAAGGCAGGGGATCTTGGAGAGGAAAACTCCCAGGGACAGGAGTAACCTTCCTGGCAAGCCAGGCAGCTCAGTGTGCAACACCAAGGGTTGAGCTGGTGCTCTGGCAGTGCCCCTCACCCCGCGGGTGCCTGTGGCTGACTCTGCCAGCAGAGCTTTTCCTTTCCCCCCTTCAGGGCACAGATGGTTATTTTGCCATCAGAGGAGTTAATAACCCAGAAATTTATTTACAAAAAGCACTGGACTATGAGAAATTCAAATGGACAACGCTGGCCCTGTATGCAAGGGTAAGTTCTCTGGGAGGAATGAGACCCCGTGTTGGCCCCAGTGTCTCTGAACTGGAGGGTCAGTCAGACTGGGAGAGCAGACGGGGTGGCAGGAGGGAGGGGGTTGAGTTTGTAGCAGCCTTCTACCCTCCATCATTACAGTGACAGACCTTCAAGGGCTGCAGGGCGTCCAGCCCACCCTGGTCAGCAGCAGGGGGTAACAAACTGCTGAGCCTGGGACAGGACTTGAGTTAAAGCAGCTGGAAGACCCTGGGCCACTGGCCTGTGCAGCTGGGCTCTTCCTTGGGCACTAAAACTCCCATCTCAGGCCTGTGCTTTGCCTTGGAGTGCAGGACAGGCCCGTGGGCAGCAGCGAGGCCACCAACACAGCCACTGCCACCATACATGTCATCCTTGAACAAGCTGACACCAGGCCACCCTGGTTCCTGCCCTGCACCCTCCTGAGCACGGACAGCAGCATCTGCATCAGCAGCCCCTACACGGGGCGGGTCAACATCTCCGAGCAGGCGGTAAGCAGGGCTGGGGCCCTCCAGGCAACCCCCAGCCAGCATCCCGCTGATCTGCCCAGTGAGCTGTGCCCAGTAATTGCCATGAGCTCGGGCTGCTCCCCAGTCACCACTGCAGATGATTCAGCATGCCAGGGAGCCTCCATCCTCCTGGGAAGAGGAGGCTCCTCCACCCCGAGCAGCACCTGGGGTGCTTGTCCTTGCTCCTGCAGCACGTCCCAGGAGAGGTGGGAGCTGGAAAGCCCTTTGCCCCGTGCTGCCCCTGCCCTGCCCTGTTCCAGCCTTCCCCCAGCAGTCACTGCCATTCTGCCCAGTGAGCTCTGCAGAGCTTTGCTGTGTCGTTGCAGACGGAGCCCCTGGTCCTGGAGCCAGGTCCCATCTATGCTGTTGATCCTGACTACACTTTAAATGAGAAAATCGTGTACAGGCTTGTTGGTGGTGAGTAGAAGTTGTCACCTTCCCTGCACCACATTGCTCCTCTGTCCTCTATGTCACCCAGAGGAGACACCCTGCCACAGGGCACCACGTCTGTGAATATCCTCCTGATAATAAACACATTAAAGAACCCTAAATTCCACTGGTAGTTTGGATGTAGTGTGGGGTCCCTATCCCCCCAGTCACCAGAGAACCCCAGACTGGAGGGTCCTTGTCTAGATACAGCCCACAGCAGCTCAGGGGGAGGAAGAGATCTAGCAGCTTTGCTTCTGTTTCAGCATAAATCCAACACAGAAGTTTTAACAATTCAAACAGATTAGAGAGGTAGGAAGCCAATTTCTATCCCTGTGTCAATACAAGAAGTTTTGGTGTCTAGGCTCTTTTTGTAGGCAGTAGAGAGAACTCAGCATTCCCAGAGCAGGATGCAGCTCAGGCTGAGGTGGGTGTTCACAGCAAGTTGAATAAATCATGCACTGAGATGCCATTTTCCCTGCACAACACAGGTAACAAGGTCAGCTGGAGATGTCTTCCCTTTAGATGCCTGGAGTTATTTGAGATGAACCCCAGCCAACAGCTCTTTGTAGAATGGTTTCTTGCCTTTAAAAAAGAAACAGTCCTTCCCTTGTCCCTGAAGTGCAGTTTGGGTTCAGGGTGGGGCTGGGGGACTAGAGACCTTCAGTCCTCAACTGCACCAGTGGCTCCAGGCATATAGCAGAGATTAAGGTGGCCACATCTGGGCCAATGTTAGATTTTACTCTCCTACCTCATCTCGTTGGGTTTCATACACATCATCTTGATGCTTTTTGTCTGTTGAGCCCCCCTGAATCCCTCAGTGGCACCCCCAGTCCTTGGGGCAGCAGGCAGGCAGTGAGAGCAGCATTGTGCCCTGGGGATGCTGCCAACTAAGATGGGAAAAAATGAGTCAATGAGCTCCAGGTCACTTTGTGAAGGTGTCTGATGATCTTTCTGTTTTCTGCAGGGGACACAGACAAAGTATTCTCAGTGGATGCAGACACAGGGAACCTAACTATGAACAAACCAGCAACTTCCCCAGACTCCTACCTTCTGCAAGTCATGGTAAGCCTGATGCCACTGCAGACAACAGCCCAGCGTCCCTGGCTCTCTAGAGGCAGCAGGTGTGATGTGGCAGGAGTCAATTACACCAGGAATTACAGCTAGCTGGGTTACACCCTTTCTTTGGAAGGGCCTGGAACTGGGCTGGTGCCTTACAGCAGCTCACGTGCCCAAGCTCTTGCAGAACTTGAGGTGTTCTCCCTTGTGTGGGCTGCAGCATCAAAGCAGAGCAGGTGAATGGGGACATCCTGCTGAGCTGCAGGTACAGAGGAGTGGTGACTGGGAGGGTTTCCTCAGGCATGACTGGAGCTCCTGTTGCAGTGGTTACCACACCTCAGTGCTGGAGACAAGCCCCTCGTTTAGCTGGGGAGGGAAGGAGGGGGTTGAGAATCACTGCTGCACACACCCACCCAGGGAGACGTGGGCTCTCAGGCAGCAACTGAATGGACCCAAACCCTCTCAAAGATGAGCAGGCTCTGCCTGCTGGAGCTGGCACCTCACTGCTTCGTATTGGAGCATGGCAATTTGTCCAGGCATGGCTGTTATGGAGAGTTACACCTGGATTTTGGGGCTAGACCAAGGCTGTGTGGAGGGCTGAGAGCAGAAACAAGCTAAAACACAAGGACTCCAAGCAATAAAGCCACCTCTGACAGGCTTGGCTCAAAGCTCACTGCAAATGATGGAAAGAACCCCGTGGGTTGCAATGGGCTTCAGATCAAGCCTATGCTTTTGTCTCATAACTCCAACATCTCTCTCTGCCTCTTTCTCTCCAGGCCACCCAGGTCAACAACATACAGAAATACTCCATAGTCACTGTAGAGATTAAGGTCATCAACAAAAGTGATCATGCACCCTACTTTGAGAGCAGGAGCTACAACGGGACCGTCTCTGTTGGTCTGGCCCCAAGAAGCTTTGTCTTCAAAGCTGGTGACCCTTCGAGCCCCCTGATGATAACAGCAGCAGATGAGGATTTCCCTGATGTAAGCAGCTGAAAGTGCACTGAGCTCCTTCTCACTGCTTTGGGGCTAGGGTGGGATCAGAAAACATGAGGAAGGGGAGGTGGGGAGAAGCAAACACATCTTCTGCTATTCTATTTCTGTATTATAACTCCAGGGACATCTTTTCCAAAAGCCAGTTCCACCCACGTGGATGAGCTGACCCACTGCAAGCCAGCCCAGGGTTAGCAAATGATGTGAAGAGATCAAGGGCTGAATTAGGGCTGGCTGAAGTGCTTCCTTGAAGAGTCTGGGGCAGCAGGATCCCAGGCAGAGGTGCCTCTTTCTGCCAGGTCAGGGAAGCTGTTTGTGGGCTGGCCTGGGAGAAGGAGCCAGTCCAAGGACAGCCCACAGGCAAGGGCTTGCATCCTGGGCTGGCAGCTGTTAACCTGCCCCCTGGGAGACTCTGCTGAGAGAACCACTCCTGAACAAGGCACTGGGAGAAGGGAAGGGGAGGAGATTTACCAGCCAGCCATCCCATCCTGCCCTGTTCAATAAAGTGCTGGTTCTACTGGTGCCAAGGCTTCCATAATGAGCCTGGGGACCTACTCAAGCAATAACAGCCTGGACACACGGGGGAAAATCGTGCAGAGCTCAGCATGTTATTCTCCCTGTACATCCCATTTGGGACTGTACTAAAGGCAGAGCTGATAAAACCCTCAAGGTCCATTATGTAGATGTGTTTTGTTTGGGCAAATACTAAAGATACCAACACAAGGTGGGTAAGGTGGGGTTCTCTGGGGGACAACACTCTCAGGGTGCATTCTTGAATGCTGAGCAACAGGGTGGAGACATTTGAGTCCAGCCTTTCTCCCCTCCTCAGTCCAGGTTTCTTTATTGCACTGTTCACCTGCTCACAGTTGATAAGTCCTGCCCGTGGGTTGGTAGAGATGCATGCAAAGCACAGTGTGGTTTAATCATTCACTCTTCTGGCTTTGCAGAAAGTCAACCCAAACGTTGAGTACTACCTAAAAAACAGCACTGACTTCATGGCAACCAGAGATGGATTCATCCTGACAAAGGTGGTGCTGCAGACACCAGGAACTGTAACCATTGAGGTAGGACAACTCCCTTCAGTCTCTTGCAAGGGCTGTGGAAGGAAAGGGTAGTTTCTAGCAGAGAAGCACCAGGGGTGGGATCCCATTAGGTGAGGGATCTAATGAGAGGACAGTCTCTCCCCCAGTCATTTGCATCGTACACGTGTAGGGATGGAGGGAGATGAAGGGAGGGCAAATTTGCTCTGTGTGATACAGGCTGTGTCTGGTGCTAGTGGTAAAATTGTTCCTCTGATCCTGTGGAAAATATCATTGGAGACAAGCAAAAAGTCAGCTGGGGAGATTTTAGGAGTCCTCCTCCCCCACTCTGACTCTGGATAGCAAAAAAAAAGAGTGAGCAAGTGGGTAGGAGGTTGGTGTGTAGGTGCTGGCAGACACCCCAGCTCTAAAGGCTGCAGCTTCAAACCTGGAAAGCCTTTGGTAAATCCAGCAGTTCTCTTGCTCAGGTCGAGGGATGAAGTTCATCACCTCAGACCTCAAAAAAAAGTGAGCAAGTGGGTAGGAGGCTGATGTGTAGGTAGGGGTAGGGTAAGACTCCTGGCAGACACCCCAGCTCTAAAGGCTGCAGCTTCAAACCTGGAAAGCCTTTGGTAAATCCAGCAGTTCTCTTGCTCAGGTCGAGGGATGAAGTTCATCACCTCAGACCTCGAGGGTGAGCTGGAGACCTCGAGGTCCCTGGGCTAACTCTTGGCCATGTTCACACAGGCTGTTGGTAAAGATGTGGTGAGCCTGCAGGAGGCGAGCACTGTGGTGGTGGTGGAGGTCATCCCCCCTGCAGGTAGGCTTGTGTCTCTGCTCTCTGCTCTGTAGAGAGTCCTTCCTACTCCTGTGGGCAACCTGGCAATGAGACTTCACCTCCTGGAGTCTGTTGGGCTGGGCTGAGGCCAACCCACACACCTTCATGAGGCTTTATGGTGGTGTAAGAGAAAAAAACAATCAGCACCCTTATGGTGTGGTCACCAAATGCCTCAAACAGCCTCCTGAGACTTCAAGTAGTGCTGTGGGTCATATTATCTTCTTGTTATTCCAAAGCTACATCTGGGGTTGCTTCGTGCTCCTTTGTGGATCAGAAATCCCCCAGGATATCTTGTCATGGCACAGGAGAGCTGCCCTGACACCCTGGTACATCCTTGTTCCCTTTTAGCCCAAAGCAAAGCAAACTGCAATGTTGTTCCTTGTCTTGTGCAGAGGAAACAGGAGCTGAGAGATCCTCACAAAGCTAAACTTTGTCAGCCCAGGCACTTTCTGCTCAGGTCAGGTCAAGGTGCTCCAAGATTTAAAGTCTTACCCAGAAAAGTGACCCATGAGAAATAAGATAGATAGACATGGGGCTACACACAGAACCTTCCAGCTATCCTTTGGCTTTGTTAATGTAAAAACACCTCACACTCCCATGCTCTTAAAAAATGGCCCTTAAATAGGTCTTGTAAGTCAGTTAGATTTCAAGCTCATGAAACTTTTTATGCTTTGGATTAAGATGAAGCAATATCACCTAGTTTCACATCAGGGTAGGCAGATAATGCCCAGATTCCAGTGGTTTCCACATGAGGATGTGGGATTGAGGCTCTCAGTTGGGCTCTTCCATTCCTTCACCCTCACCACCACCACGGGGAGGATTTCTGGAGTTAAAACCACAGCAGGCTGCTGAGTGTGAATTTGGATTTCTTAAAGGCAGTGTCACTCCACAGCTGGAAACACGGGCTGCACAAACCCCCCTACCCCCAGTGGGGGCACAGGGCAGCTCAGCAGGGAGCTGGCTCAGGTGGCAGTGCAGAGCTGCAGAGGTGCCAGCACTGCTGGGCAAGTCTGAAATGCCACCCTGGCTCTTCAGACCACACACAGTAATGGAGCTGGTGACTCCACAAAAAACTAGATGGAGATGACACTGGATAGCTCAGAGAGGGTTTGGCTTTATTCTGAGCCCCCAGGAATGGCCACAACCCAGCTGAGATGACCACTGGCTGCCCAGCCTGTGGCATGTTTAACTGTCTCCAAGAGGTGGTGGGAAGGGATGGGTTGGTGAGTGATTTACTGAACGTTCCAATAGCCAGGGAAAAACCAGAGTCCTTTTTCACATCCTCCTCTCCTGGGAAGTGGGAGCTGCACACTGGCCTCTGGCTCCTGAGACACCGGTGCTGGAAGCAGGTCCCAGGGATCTCGGGGTGAGCTGGTGCCCCAAGCTGAGCTGGCTGCCCCAGGGACACTGTGCTGCGTGGCACAGAGGAGCTCTGTGGGATGTGGCTCCTTAGGAGGCATGATTAAGAAGCAAAAATTCCCTGCAGCTGAAACCCTCACCAACATATTAATGATAAACAGGGTGCAATCAAACCTGGAGAGAATACTCAAAGTCCACTGTCATAAACAGGTCAGCAGGAGGACAGAACTGTTTCCTTAACCATTACACTTGAAAGAGGCTAATTTACACTACAAAATGAAGCTGGAAAGCCTAAATATAAAGAATCCCAACAAGAAGAACAAGCAAAGCTGATTAACCCTGACGAAGTCCTTGCCTTCCACCCCAGTGCTGATCTCTGCACAAGTATGCTGAGAGCAGAAGTTTCTTTGCCCTCTGAAAATTGGTTGGAGCATCTCCCACAATGAAGAGTTGTGTTAAAAAAATCTAGCTGCCTTTTTTAGGTTTTGTAACACTGGTTTGTTCTTCCTGCAGCTGTGACCTCCCCTGATAAGATATACACTGCTCAGGATATGGGCATCTTAGGTGGCACGTTAGCAGCAGTGCTGTTAATTGTTTTAGTCTGCCTTGGAGTGATGCTGTATAAGCACTATGGAAATCCAGTCAAATACCTGATCAGGAAAAAGGTAAGTTCCTTGCTTGTACTTGAATTTCTTAGAGTTAGAAAGTGGGTTCTGAGGAGGTTTTGCAGTATGGATGGGCTGTCCAAATACTGCACCTGCTTGTGTGAAGGTGAGGTGTCACTCCTGAGACTGTTTGCACAGGTCATGTTGCTTTGGTGCTTGCTGCTGTTCTTTTCTACCACCCGAGGCTGGAGCTGTGTGGTAGGTGATGAGCAGACATGGTAAGGAGAGGACCACAGCTCCATGGAGCACAAAATCTGGGATGAAGATGACACACATCAGAGGTAGTCTCTGAAAATCGTGTCTGTGTGGTATAAACCACTGTTCACCCTTCCCCTATAGTCAAAGGAGAAAAAAAAGTCCCTTCACACCTAGCTCAGGTGAATACCAACAGCCCGACCCCTGGGGGAGGTAAATCCACACCAGAGGAACACCTCAGATGGCTGGGGACAGATGAGCACACACTGCTGGTGCTCAGCCCTCCTGGAAAACACCCATCTTCTGAGAAAGGTCAATACAAAAGAGCTGCTCTAGGGAGCTGTGCCTTTCCCAGGTCTGACTGCAAAACAAGCTGAAGTTTTCCTGAGCAGCAGCTCACTCACTTCAGCCCCCTCCTTTCCCCTCCATCCTGTTTCTCATCCTTTCACTGCAATCATAAGGGGTCTCTCCTCCTGTAGGTCCCCAAGGAAACCTTTGGGGGTTATCAGAACCAGTCCTACAAGCAGGATGAACACCCAGAGGTGAGCACCAAAGAGCAGGAGACAGCAGCAAACGGCAGTGCCCAGTTGATAGCATGTGTGCCACAGCAGCTGGCACCTCCCCGGCCCTCCTCTGCTGCAGAAGAAACTGGCAGCCTCCCAAGGGCTTCTGTAGCTTCCACCGTCATCTTTGACCAGAAAGAGAAAGAGGAAGAAGTGGAAAAAGAGCCTGAGGGGGAGAAAGAAGTGAAGTCTATCCTCAAGACAGACAGGCACCTGGCAGATGATGGCTACAAAGCTGTGTGGTTTAAGACCGATGTGGACCCAGATGGTGGAGAGAGGGTTGAGGTGATTGAGGACAATGCAGCTGATAGCGATGATGACAGTGACCAAGACCTGCAGGAGGAGGAGGAGGAGGAAGATTATGCCAAGGCTGATCACCACAGAGGGCTGGAAGTGTCCTTGGCCTCAGAGAGCTCATCGCTCCCCGCTGCAGGAGTGAGAGTCACGATGCCTCACACAGATGCAGTGACAGAAGATGAGAGTGACCTGTGATGGAAATAGGCCTGTGCCTCCCTCCCTGCCCCCCAGATGGGGACTCTCAGCTGCCTTGCTGACATGAGGTCTATCTCTCTGCCCAGGGGGGAAACTGGAGTGCAGGAGGGCCGGGCTGCCTGTCCTGCTTCTCTGAAAGCAGCGATTAAAGCTGGAAGAGATTACAGCTAATTCAACCTTTTGGTGAGACCTCGGAATATCACTTAGGCTTTGGGGGGTGGGAGAAGGAACACAAGTCTCATCTCTCCCCCTCCCTGCCTGTTCCCCCTGGGGCCACTCCCATCACACCTCCCAGACTGGCTGCAGGTACAGCAGAGGTGGAGTGGAGTGCTTTGAAGCAGGCTGCCCAGCTCCTGGAGCAGTTTGGTTCCCCAGCCTGGCGTTCACCTCTGGGTGGGTGGATGAGCCAGCACGGGCTGCTTGCCTCTGCCCCTCAGGAGTTCCAGGGGCTGCCAGCTGCAGGGGGGCAGCCAGCATGTCACCCTGCCCCTGCAGGTGCTGGGATGGCTCTACCCAGGAGCTCGCTTCAGGGCTTGGTGCTGCTCTCCCCCCTGCCACGCTCTGTGCTGCCAGCAGGAGCGGTTGGCATGTGCCACCGTGGTCCTTGTCCTGCCAGAAGCCAGGAGTTTACAAGGAGCTGCCGTTTCCTCTGGCACTGGTAAGCAAGGACTGAGCACGTGTTCTCTACTGAAGGACTTTGTCATCAGTTTTTCTGTCATAAACCCACTGATGGTGCAGTACTTCTTTAGCTGTCTGTCTCCTGTCTGTCAGGGAAAAGAAGAGCTCCTGCCAGGACCTGCCTGCAACATGTCAGGGCTGTTTCCAGCTCTCTGGGTTTCTGGCAGCAGTGGGTATCATTCCAGAGGTGCTGGATGTAGGATCAGTATATTGTTTCCTATCATTTCCACTGTCCATTGGGGCTCAAGGTGTCCCTTTTGTCTTTGCTGCTGAAGGTGGAGGTCAGAGAGTGCCAGGTGTCACTGCCACTTCTCTGCCCCTCTCGTCTCTGATGCCAACCTCTTTGCATAACACCCTTCTCCATTCAGGAGGAGCCCAACAGGCTCTTTTGCTGGTAAAATACCATCTTTTGAGCTTCACCTAGAGCTGAGATGCAGCCTGAGAGCAGAGGAGCTTCACTGAGAGCAAATCAGCTCTGCTGTGTTCAGTAGGAGTCCAGGCTTGAGCTCGAAAGCCTGCTGACCTTTGGATTGACTTTGTGGGGTGACAGCACATAGCATATTAGAGCCTTCCTCTCTCAATCCTCCTCCTTTTCAGCAGAATTATGGTCCTGCCACAAAGCCCCAG